AATCATACTTATCATTATTTTCATGAGAACATATTTTACTACTGAAATAAATTTGCTTTATTTTTGTTATTTCTAATAAGTAAAATATCTCTAGGATGTTTACGCTCATTTATTGAGCTATTCTGTTCTTTAATAATATTAATATTATTGTCAGTACCTTCATAGTTTATTTCCACTTCTGCTTCAAGCATTTCCATCCCAATTTTCAGAAACATAGTTATCCATGAAATTAAGGACGTTAATTTTTCTTCTGAGGGAGTTAATGCCTTCATTTTTCTTTTAGCTTCACCCCCACCTGTCTTGGGCCACTCTTTTGATTGTTCTCCTGCCTTTTTTTTGTATGACACTTTCAGTCTATAAAAACCTGCAAATTACACGTATTTTATTTATAAATGAGTTGCATCAACAGTATATACAAAGTTTTACCTTTTTCGACTGCGAACCAATTTAACTTAGCCCAATTGGTAGCTTATCCCACAATTTTATAATTGTGTTGTTATCAGCTTCAGAAGATTTAGCTTTGCCCTGTAGTAATAATCGGTTATGAGATATAAAATCTATTAAAAAATTTACTGTTCAGGAGACGTCTTCCTTTTATTATTATTACAATCATTATTAGAGGCTAACACACAACTTTGCACATTTTTTAAAAAATTACAACTTCTACTCTACATAAAAGTTTACAACAGACTGAACGTGAAACGTCACTATGTTTGTTATTTAGTGTAGTGTTTATTACTGTACCTGACAAGACTTTTCATTTTTCCATCCTAAATGGAAATTGTTAGACATCTGGTTTACACATGTAAAGTTCACTCTTGATGTTCTTTTTTCTTAACCATAGTTCTCAACTCTCAACACAACTTCGCGCTCAGTATTTTGTTAGTTTGAATCATGGGCAATGGGTTTGAATTTTGAATAGAATAAGTTAAAGCATTTAAACGATCATAGTACTATCATTTCCTGGTTTCCTGCAGGGTATGAAATGTCGAGCGCGAGCGACACCTAAGTTTACCCCACGTAAGTTTTTAAATTTTTTAAATTACCAAAATCGACATTACCGATATACTAGGCGACATAATTTTACTGAAACGACAACAGATGATGCGACGGCGGTTGCGATTATCAGAGGAATTCCCCAGTAGTTGTGGCGTTATTGAGCAATAGTGATTAGTTTCACAACTTATAATATTTTAAAATTTTTGTGAAAAGTACTTTTACCTATCCTGAAAGTAAGTAATATATTAAGTACTTCAATCATGCTTTACAATAAGTAAAGAAAGGATGTTTTCTGCCCAACACAGAAAAACCTTGATGTACAGTCTACACTATTACGGGGTCAAATTAATTTGAAATGTTCTACGTAGATTATACAGTTCCTGCAGGAGTTAAAGGTCAAGATGCCGCTTTCCATTTTCCTGAAGTAACAGCGGTTCCAACGAAAGTGGCAGGTATTGTAATTTGTTGTTGTGAAACTTAAGTTCTAAAAAAAA